TTTACCCACTAGGCTACTGCATCAGGCCCAATAGAAAAATCTTAACAATAACAAAAAAGCACAGGGTCCCAGGGTATCTAAGCAATGCCCATGTGTTTAAGGACTTCAAAAATGTCACAGAAAAATTGAATTAAAATATAGGTTTATTTTGACACAAGAAACGAAAAAGGAAAACCAGGTTTTTTTTTTTCCATAACTGTATTTTTTTAAGAACTCTTTGAATATCCTTCATACGCATGGATTTTAACATTTCTTAACCAAATTTCATTTCATTTTCTGGCAAATGCTTTGACGTTTACCTTGTGCATGTTACCCAGCTCAATATGTGGGTCTGGATGTTCTATCCACACATGGCCCACACTCAACACTGACACACAGCATGGGGACCTAGAAGGCAAGAACTAGATCAAGAAGGTATCACTGCCCTTTTTCCTTAAATTTTTATTTGAGTGGCAGATACAGAGAGAGAGAGACAAGAGAAAAACACCTTAAGCTCTTCCATCAGGGGTTCATCCCCAAATGCCCACAACAGCTGAGCCTGGGCTGAGCCAAAACCCACAGCCTGGAACTCAGTCCAGGCCTGCTACGTGGGTGAAACAGCCTGGTGGCAGGCATCCAGTCACCTGGACAACCCAACTGGCTTACCCACTAGATCAAATGCCCGCTCCAACACCTTCATTCAACATCTACTACGTCTTCTGAGATTCTTCTGGATGTTGTAATGCAAACACAATCATGTCAACTGCCTGCTGAAACCTTCATGAACAGTAAAGGTACGCCTACTTTAAGACATTGCCTGAGCCAGACGGTATGATGCATGGTACTGCTGAAAAGCACAGATGTTAACAAAGCTTACCGCAGAAATGCAGAGTGACCCAGAGGTTTCTAGATCTCTCTCTTGCACGTGTCCCCAGGTTTCCCCTCCTGAGTGCCTACTCACTTGTGTAGGTAATGACACTTCCAAACCTTTTGCCATCTTTCTCATCCTATAGCTTTGTCTCTCTGCTCTTCCAACGACCTGCCAACCAAGCTCATGGGAGGGCTGCCTCTGGGTGCTACCAGCCACTCTGTCCCCTCACATGACCCGGGATGTGGCTTGAGCTCAATGCTCACTAAATGTTCCTTGCCTGGTCACCAGAAGCAGTACAAAGTCTATGCAAACCTAGCTGGGACTGGCTGTTACAGGTGCTTCACACCAAGGGCTTTATGAGGGAAAATACCAGTAAAGCTCTTGAAAAAAAAAGTTAGAGAAGAAAGTGAGTATATGTTGTTATAGAAATAGAGGCTGGTGAGGGCACAGACCCTATCACAATACGTTTACTCTGAAGGATTTAACCATCATGCACTTCTAAAGCCAACTGCTGGTCATACGCCTCTAAGAAGGCAACATTTGGGAAATGAATTCAGCAGTTAAGACATCAGTGTCCCCCATGAAGATTCTGGCTCCAGTGGTCAGCTTCCCATCAAAGCTGACCCAGAGAAGCAGCGCTGAGTTCCAGCCACCCACGTGGGAGATCCAGGGTGCATACCCTGCTCCTGGCCGCGGCCCCAGCCACTGCAGGCACTGCAAAGTGAAAGGACCTTCTCCCTCCCTCCTTCTCTCTTTCTCTCTCACAAATGCCAAACATAAAAAAGAGTTCTGACAACTTTTAAATTTTTTTTTGAATGATAGATTTATTTGTGTGACAGGCAGAGAGAGAATCTTTCATCTGTTAGTTCACTCTCCAAATGGCTGCACAGGCCAAGGCTGGGTCAGGCTGAAGCCAGCAGCCTGGAACTCCATCTGATCTCCCACATGGGTGCAAATACGTGGGCCATGCTCCCATGCTCTCCCAGGTACATTAGCAGGGAGCTGGATGGGAAGCAGAGCAGCCAGGCCTCCAGACACTGCTCTGATACGGACATCAGTGCCATAGGCTTCACCCAGTGAACCCAACACTGGTCCCAGGACAGAACATCTACTTCACAGAGTCTACAGAGACCTGTGCTTAAAGAAAGCCCTCCCCCGACTCCAGGGGCTGAGCAAGTCGTGCTCTGAAGAGCTCTGCCTGCCGCCTGCCTTAGCCTGCAAGTTTTCTGCAGACAGGAGAGACTGTGCAAAGGGGCAGGGTCTGCCATCTGCTCCCCTACCACCACCACCACCACCTCCACCACCACCTCTACCACCACCACCACCACCACCTCCACCACCTCCTCCACCACCACCACCACCACCACCTCTACCACCACCTCCACCACCTCCACCTCCACCACCACCACCACCACCACCTTCTCCACCACCATCACCACCACCATCTCCTCCACCACCACCACCTCCACCACCACCACCACCACCTCCACCACCACCTCTACCACCTCCTCCACCACCACCACCTCCACCACCACCTCCACCACCACCTCCACCACCACCTCCACCACCACCTCCTCCACCACCACCACCACCACCTCCACCACCACCACCTCCACCACCTCCACCACCACCTCCACCACCTCCACCACCTCCACCACCACCTCCACCACCTCCTCCACCACCACCACCACCTCCACCACCACCACCACCACCACCTCCACCACCACCACCACCACCACCTCCACCACCACCTCCACCACCTCCACCACCTCCACCACCACCACCTCCACCACCTCCTCCACCACCACCACCACCTCCACCACCTCCTCCACCACCTCCACCACCTCCTCCACCACCTCCACCACCACCTCCTCCACCACCACCTCCTCCACCACCACCACCTCCTCCACCACCACCTCCTCCACCACCACCACCTCCACCACCACCACCACTCTTCCATCCCCTCTGTCTCACAGCTTTGCAACCTCTTCCCCACTCAGAAATCTGCCATGCATTGTGAGGCTGTGGGCAGCAGCACCTCACTCATGTGGAGTAGATCCTGCCTAGGTCCCCCCAACAGCATCTCTAAGAGGCCTGTTACACTGGCCGAGCTAGGGCTTCCCCTCCAGGCAGCCCTGCTCCCATAAGGAGGACTGGAGTCCAGAGCTCAGGGGCGTGTCTCAAGATTCCCTCCAGGAGAACTAAAACCCACACTGCCTGCCTAACTTTCTGTTTCACCTTGTTAAAACACCTGTTGGGGCAGTGTCGCTGTACAGTGCGTTAAGCCTCTGCTTGCAATACTGCCATCCCACTTCAGAGTCTGTCTGCTCTGCTCCCTGCTGAGGTACCTGGGAAAATCCTAGAAGGATGGCCCAAGTACTCAGGCCCCTTCCCACCTCCCATGTGGGAAATCCAGACAGAGTTCCTGGCTCCTGGTTCCAGCTGGTCCAACCCAACTTGAGAACCAGTTAACGCGCCAGTCAATCCCCACCAAGCCCTGGCGCCCACACAAACCACCTGCATTTTGGCAGTTCTCTCCTATCAGCACCGTGTTACTTAACCTTTCCACGCCTTGCTGTCCTCCCTGCTCCCTCCCCCGAGGGCGTTCCGCGTTGTAGCACAAAGTGGACCCTGAAAATGAGATTTGCTGAGCACTTTGGGTGGCAGAGAAGCGGCCCTTATGAAGCAGACGCTTTCCACACTTAAGTGAGAACTTTGAGCTGTCCCTTGCGCGTCCTCACTCCCAGCACATATTGCCCACAAAGGAGCCCCGAGTCAACGCTCACTGCTTACTGATCACCCGTGACACTTCTCCCAGCGGGCCAGGCTGCAGCAGGTTGCAGCCCAAACACTTGCAGCAATCCCAGGCACAAGGCAGGAATGCCCCGCCGCTGGCAGCCTTGGCGAGCCCATGAAGATCATTACTGCACGTCTGTGCACACCATCAGGACTAAGTCACAACACAGAACCAGTTCGAGCCTTCTCCACACTCTTGCCTACAACAGGGCCAAGCCACAAACCACAGCTCCCTTCCCCAAAGAGGGTGGCACACTTTAAACACCCCAGCGTCGCCGCAACCCACTCCAGCAAGCCTGGGCCAGCCTTCTGGAACACTACCCACAGGGAGCGAGCTTTCTGCAGGCGGGCAGTCTCGAACCCGGGGGCAAGAATTCTCTCCCAAGGGGAGGTGGGGATGGGGGAAGACTGGGCGACGCTGGCGGGCTCCGCGTTGCCCGCAGGGTGGCACCTGAAGCAGATAAGGCGAGGTGCACGACCTCTGCTCCACAGCGCCAGGCAAGCTCGTCTAAAATAAAAAGGTCTCTGTCAACACACTGGGTTTGCTCGCCCGGTAATCCACCACCCCCGCCCCCAGCCCCGCGTGCGCGACCCCGCGCAGCTGTTTTTAATCCCCACTTTTTCTCCTGGGCGTTCCGGGGCTCGGAGCTGACCAGACGCGGAGCCACTTAGAGTCTCCTCCTCCCACTGCCAGGCTCAGTCCTCCCTCCGCCGTCTCCTCTTTCTCCGCCTGCGTCCCCCCGGGGGGCAGAGTGTGGGAAGAACGAATTTCCGCCCCGTTTGCTTGCTGCGCGCCGACTAGGGTCCCTTCCGGAGGCATCCGGTGCGGGCCCCCGAAGGCTGTTCCGCTGCGGGCCGAGCCCGGGAGCGGAGAGGCGCGGGCGGCGGGGGCCCGCGGAGTCGCCCGGACTCCGCAGCCAAGCCGCGCCCCCGAGGAGCGCTTGGAAGGGCTCCCGCCTGCAGCTGGGGAATCCGCTGGGCGGGGAGAATCCGCGCCAGGGAATCCAGCTCTCCGGACTCCTTTGCAAACACAAAGCGCCGGGTCTGGCGGCCTTCCCCTCCAGCCCTCCCCCTACACACACCCGAAGAAGCAGTTTTGTGCTAGAAATGCAACAAGTAGTACCCGGGGCTCCCCGGGCGCCTTGCGCCGCCTGACTTGGCTGCGTGAAGCCCGCCCGCAGAGACCCGGGGCCCGGCCTCCGGACAAAGGGCGGAGGAGGGGCTGGACGGGGCGCACTGTGCAGTCCGAAAAAGCCCTTTCAGCGATCCTGGGCCGGCCGAAGGGAATGCAGAGGAGACACAGAGCCGGCGGGCCCAGACGACGATCCGGCCGCAGCACGCAGGGCGGGCGGCGATGGAGGTTGCCCGCGCCGCGCGCTTTCTGCTCGCGGTGTGCGTCTGCCTGGCGCTGCTGCCGCGGGCCGCGCCCGTGTGTCCGGAGCGCTGCGACTGCCAGCACTCCCAGCACCTCCTGTGCACCAACCGGGGACTGCGCGCCGTGCCCAAGACCAGCTCGCTGCCGAGCCCCCAGGACGTGCTCACCTACAGCCTCGGCGGCAACTTCATAACCAACATCAGCGCCTTCGACTTCCATCGCCTGGGGCAGCTCAGGCGCTTGGACCTGCAGTACAACCAGATCCGCTCCCTGCACCCAAAGACCTTCGAGAAGCTCTCGCGGCTGGAGGAGCTCTACCTGGGCAACAACCTCCTGCAGGCGCTCGCCCCGGGCACGCTGGCGCCGCTGCGCAAGCTCAGGATCCTCTACGTCAACGGCAACGAGATCGGCCGCCTGAGCCGCGGCTCCTTCGAGGGCCTCGAGAGTCTGGTCAAGCTGCGGCTGGACGGTAACGCTCTCGGAGCGCTACCCGACGCCGTCTTCGCCCCGCTGGGCAATCTGCTCTACCTGCACCTGGAAGCCAACCGCATCCGCGTGCTGGGCAAGAACGCCTTCGCGCAGCTGGGCAAGCTGCGCTTCCTCAACCTCTCCGCCAACGAGCTGCAGCCCTCGCTGCGCCACGCTGCCACCTTCGCGCCACTGCGCTCGCTCACCACCCTCATCCTCTCAGCCAACGGTCTGCAGCACCTGGGCCCCCGCGTGTTCCAGCACCTGCCCCGCCTCGGGCTGCTCTCGCTCCGGGACAACCAACTCACACACCTGGCGCCAGACGCCTTCTGGGGCTTGGACGCCCTGCGCGAATTGCGCCTAGAGGGCAACCGCCTGAGCCAGCTGCCTGTGGCGCTGCTGGACCCTCTGCGCAGCCTAGAGGCCCTGGACCTGAGCCACAATGAGCTGTCCGCGCTGCATCCCGCCACCTTCGGCCACCTGGGTCGCCTGCGCGAGCTCAGCCTGCGCGACAACGCACTCAGCGCCCTCTCGGGCGACATCTTCGCCGCCAGCCCGGCCCTCTACCGTCTGGATCTGGACGGCAACGGCTGGACTTGCGACTGCCGCCTGCGGGGCCTCAAGCGCTGGATGGGTGACTGGCACTCGCAGGGCCGGCTGCTCACCGTCTTCGTGCAGTGCCGCCACCCGCCAGCCCTGCGGGGCAAGTATTTGGATTACTTGGATGACCAGCAGCTGCAGAACGGGTCTTGCGCGCTGCCCCTGCCCTCGGCGGCTTCCCCGACCGCCTCCCGGCTCCCAGCCACAGCCGCGGGGCAGGAACCGACGCCCTCTGCAGGGAGTCTCACCGAGATGCTGCCACCGCAGCCCCAGCAGCGAGGGCGGCTTTTAGCCGGCCTGGCCTCGGACGTGGCCGCCAGGGAGCTGGCGAGCAACCGCAGCGCTCTACGCATGAGCCGCCGGGGCCCGATCCTCCAGCGGCCGGGCCCCTCTACCGTCTCGGGCTCCGCGCCACGCGTGCTACAGGACCCGCAGGAGAAGCCCGAGCGGGGCGACCCCGCCCGTGCATTGCCCACCGCGACGACCTTGCCGGCTGGCTACCCCCGGCAGCACACGGCGAAGCAGCAGCGCCTGGCTGCCGGCCAGTCGGAGCTCCCTCCGCTGGTGTCCGACCCGTGCGACTTCAACAAGTTCATCCTATGCAACCTGACGGTGGAGGCGGTGGGCGCAGACAGCGCCTCGGTGCGCTGGGCCGTGCGCGACCACCGTAGCCCCCGGCCACTGGGCGGCGCGCGCTTCCGCCTGCTCTTCGACCGCTTCGGCCAGCAGCCCAAATTCCACCGCTTCGTCTACCTGCCCGAGCGCAGCGACTCGGCCACGCTGCGCGAGCTGCGCGGGGACACGCCGTACCTGGTGTGCGTGGAGGGCGTGCTCGGAGGCCGGGTCTGCCCCGTGGCTCCCAGGGACCACTGCGCGGGGCTGGTTACCTTGCCCGAGAGCGGGAGCCGCAGTGGGGCCAGCGGCAGCGTGGACTACCAACTGCTGACCTTGGGCCTGCTGGCAGTCAATGCGCTGCTGGTGCTCCTGGCCCTGGCGACCTGGGCATCGCGCTGGCTGCGGAGGAAGCTGCGGGCCCGGCGGAAAGGCGGGGCGCCGGTGCACGTGCGCCACATGTACTCCACACGCCGACCACTGCGCTCCATGGGCACCGGCGTGTCGGCCGACTTCTCGGGCTTCCAGTCGCACCGGCCACGCGCCACCGTGTGCGCGCTCAGCGAGGCCGACCTCATCGAGTTCCCCTGTGATCGCTTCATGGACAGCGTGGGTGCGGGAGCTAGCGGCAGCCTGAGACGGGAAGACCACTTGCTGCAGCGTTTTGCTGACTAGGGCCTGGCCTAGGAGGCCTTGGGCAGGCCACGTTCTTGGCCTCAAGCAGCCAGCTCTGAGGAGAGCACCCTCCTTGATTAGAACTTGTCCTACCTTAGCAGCGCCCACCCCAGTGCACTGAACTGAGAGGCCTGGGGGGACAGTGAGGGTTCATGTGGGTTACTGCCCCCTAGACCCTCAGCGGGCCAACTACGAGGCTGGAATGTGATGGTCAAGGCCAGGAATAGAAGGCAAATGGACAGTGAGATGGGGCGACCCTGATGAGGGATGCTTTGGCAGCGTGTTGGGATGGGCCCTGGCACTGTCTCCTTTGGGGTAGAAAGTGGTGCTTGTGTCCCCGAAAGATTTTTGTTTGCTGGGTAGACACCAGGGGAGTTTTGTTTCTAAGGGAACAAGAACTTAGTACCGTTGCAGCAGAGTATGGCCAGTGACCCTGCCACGGTCTGGGGGGGGGGGGGTCTCTGCCAAGAGGGGCAATGAACAGGTGGCATAGTATAAGGCACCTGCCAGGGAAGTCGCTCTCTGTGTAGACTCGATGGATAGAGCATTCGGGACATCTTAACCTTTAAGTAATAAGACAGTCACAATGTGAAGCGCGTTGACATTTAACCAACTGACCAGTACACCCCAGGACTCACTCAGCCAGCCTAGACTGTCCATTCTGTCCTCACACAGGGCAAGGATCCTGGCAGACCCCAAAGATGGCTACGGCGGCAGACTCCCAGTGGGGCTGGCTCCGGTGGCTTTTAACATTGCTGTGTAAGAACCTGTGGAGGGGAAAGGCAATTTCAGGTTTGATCAGCCCGGGGAGAGGTAACTGGTGACCCAGAGGGCGGGCCAGCGTTCCAAGGCACTCAGCCCATCTCTGTAGTTGATGTAATAGCCTCCTCAAGGCATCATTGCTGGTCTCCCTGCTCGGAATTGTGCAGATAAGTGACAAGGGTCATTTCCTCCTAGGGAAGTGAGAGATGGCAGTGGGTTGATCTGCTCTGCTGAACCTCCTTAGCCTCTTTACAGGAAATGCACCATGAGGAACCAATCATGAGAAACCAATGTGAATGCAGGTGCATCCCGCGCCACTGTTACTGCTTAAACCAGATGGGTCCTGGCACCTCACTGTGAAAGAATCATGTGCTTTGCGGGTGAATCCCTCCAGCTGCCCAGTGTTCTCTGTGTTACATCTGTTCATTAACAGCTACAGTATTTTCCAGTATTTTTGCTTTAAGCTTAGGGGTTGGCTCTTTTGTGTGTTGAGTTTTTTGTTTGGTTTGTTTTTTCTGTTTGGAGCACTTGTCTCCCCTGATATATATATTTATGTTTATCCCTGGATGTAGTGGTTTGGTTTACATTAAGAGGTGTGTTTGTGTGTGTGGTCTAAAACATGGGTTCCTAAGAGGACACAGGCTGAGGTTACAGCCACGCCGATTATGGGTCTGTTGGCAGTGTCGCCCAGTGATGTGAAGGCAAACAGTGACTCTTCTGTGCAGGAGCTCCCAGGAAAGCCTTCCCAGTCGGGGGAACTTCAAGCCTGCACACTCTCTTTCTCTTTGGCCTACTTTGAGCTGTGCCTGCCTTTGTCCCAGCAGCCAAGCAGGGGACCCAGGGCTCTCCATGAACTGGTGTTTGTTCCTCTCCAGATGAGCAAACGTCCTGAGCCCTTCCACGACAGCTGCTCTTCCCGCAGTCTTATCTGCAGGGCCAAAACTTAATAAGCCACAGGAAATAGACTGTCTTTGTTTGCTGCCAGAGCTTGTTTTCAGATTCAAGACAGATATCTGTCCAGGTCTCTTTGTCAACCCACGGCTGTCTGGCACCTCTCCTGTTTCTGGCTGTTCCCATTGGCAGAGCAATTGGCTGGCTCCCATGACAGTTCCTTGGGTACAGCAGTGCTAATGAGGCCCAGTGAAAGTCTGCCCAAGGCCCATCACCCCACCCACCTTGCAACTGCAGAAAAGCTGCTGAAAATGCTGAATACCCAAACCTGTGTTCTCCATGTTGCAGCTTTCCTGGGCAGCTTTTCAGTGGAGAGAGGGGGAGGAATAAATGTTATACTTTGTTATGTTCAGTTACCACAATAAACCCACTGACCAATAGAGCTGTTTGTTGTTGGCATCTCCACGTGTATTGGGTACACAAGGGTACAATGCATTTTTTTCTGCAGTCGTTTTCATGTGTGAAAATGAAGCAAGCAGAAGTCAGAATTCTTTCTGTCCACTTTAAATGATTTTTAAAATTTCTTCTATTTCCACTGTAAATTTTCTTGAGTGAATGGTTGCGTGACTCAGTGCCTCAAGAGCCAGCAAGATGGCTCTGAAGCATAGTGCTGGCCCCAGTATAAAGAAGCTGTCACACCAGTGATGGCAGGCTGGTGGGACAAGGCAGGCCTTGCTTGTGTTAAAGAAATGGGATTAAAAGTCAAGCCCTTGGATTCTCAGAGTGCATAATGAGAAACAATAATCTTGAACTGGAGGCCATCTTTGCCATTAGAAACTTAATGAAAATATAAAGTTCCAAAACAAGTTCTGGGTGAGTTTAAGGGCCTTGGAATATCTAGAATGTGATGGAGGCCTTGCCTCAACCACTGAGATTGCTCCTTCCATAAGGCAAAAAGTTTTGTACTGACACAAGGCATATGCCACGTTGACTCCTTCCCTGATTGGGCACATGCCTGACGTTCACCTATGTATGGCAACATGGGCACCTGCGACATCACTGAAAAGATGCTAGGTTACTGGATTGTTGTGGCTGCACACTCCCCCTTTTCTCTCCGTAACTGAAGCACTAACAGTATTCTGGTACCTGAAGTCTATGGAATCCCAGAGCATGACCAAGGGCTGACACTTCCCCATCAGTACAGAACTGGAGATTCAGAAAAGGGACATGCGGCTAATGCTGTCACTTAATCCTTAGATTGTGTCCATTCTCGCTCTGTTCGTGCCTCAGCTTCTACATCCTTTAAAATGGGTATCCTCGGAGTGCGGCACTGTGTTGTGACATGTAAATGATAGCCTGGTTAGATCACTGATGTTCAATAATATTACACAGGGCAACAGGTGTGGGACCTTTAGACGTTTCCAGCAAAAATATTTCTGAAGTCCCACCCAAGCGGAGAACTAAAAAATGAGGGCACAGCCTTCCCTCTCATCCACCCTCTTCTTTGTTCTGATCCGTTGAGGCTTTTCTGTACTTTGAGGAAGAATGATAGCTCTTGAAATATTTTTTTAAAGATTTATTTTTATTGAAAAGGCAGATCAGAGAGAAGGAGAGACAGACAAAGATCTTTCCATCCACTGATTCATTTTCCAATGGGCTGCAACCGGCAGAGCTGAGCACATCTGAAGCCGGGAGCTTCTTCTGGGTCTCCCCAACGGGTGCAGGGTCCCAAGGCTTTGGGCCGTCCTCCACTGCTTTCCCAGGCCACAAGCAGGGAGCTGGATGGAAAGTGGAGCACTGGGACTCTATCCCATGCTCATATGGAGTCCCAGTGCTTAAAAGGGGAGGATTAGCTCATTGAGCCGTTGCTAAAAGTTATGTTTTCCTCTAAGTGTATAAATATTTGGTTGAACTCTTCTTGGTTAATCAAACTCTTGGAATAAATTAATTTCTTTCAGTGGAAGCTAAGGATTATAAATGTTCCTTCTTCCATCTTGTCTCTCCTTCCCATTAACTTCTTGATTGCATCTCCAAGTATCCCTTTACTCTTGATTTGTTTGTAAAGAATTACTTGGAGCATGTGCAAATGCTTTTCTTTGTGAAGGACTTCAGGAGGCCTCATTCTCAGACCGTTTCATAGGGAGACTGCTACGTGGAGTAAATGTAGTTTCCTGATATCTGGTTGTTTTATCTTGGGACAGAATACCTGCATATTCCATTACATCTATTGGAGATCTCCAAGCTGAAGGTTGTATGGGTTCTTTTTCAAAAATTTACTTTTATTTATTTGAGAGAGGGGGAGAAAGTTTTCATCCACTGGTTCACTCTTCAGATTCATGCAGCACAACAGCTGGGGTTGGACGACTTGGAAACCAGGAGGCTGCAACTCCATCCAGGTCTCCTGCAGGTGGGTGGCAGGGACCCGTGTACCATCACCTACTGCCCCCCAGGGTGCACATTAGCCATCAGTTGGACTCCAAAAAGAGCTGAGACTCAAACCCAAGTCCTTTGCTGCAAGGTGCATACCAAGCAAAGTATTAACCTCTGTGCCAAACATCCACACACCCCTGCCCCCTCATCGGGCCCTCTACATTGTCTATTTCACCCCCAAATGTGGCTTTGTGATGGGCTCAGATGCTAGAGAAAAGAATTGTCTCATACTAGAATTTTGGGTTTCAACATCTCCTGACTACATGAATCTCTTTTTTTCACGTTTCTTTCAGACTCATGAAAACTTTATAACGCTAGCTGTGTGTCATCCCCAGTGCCCAGAGAGGGCAGTGCTGTTGCGGATTAAGACCAGCTGTGGCCAGCGAGCAGTTACTGCCTTTTCCAAATGACAGGCTTGGGTTAGGCGATGCTTCCCTAACAGCCGATGTCGCACTGAGCCCTTGGCATACGGACCCTGAAGCAGGTGCAACTATCTGTGAGTGCCTTCTCTCCCAGTTAACTGGGGATCTTTCAGAAGATTTCTGTAGGAAGATTAATTACAATATCAGCTAACCTTCGGGAGTGTTTGCACCCTTGCCTGTCCCTGTAGACTGTAAATGTGTGTGGCTTCCTTTTCCCTGGCCCGTAAGAGCCAACTTGCCACTGGGAGGTAGATGCGATTCTAGTCCACCTTTAAATGCAGTCCAATCTTGTTATCCAAGGCTGGTTGCTGTGCGTATTAGGATAAGAAACACCAAATAGTTGGGCTTAGGGAATATATAAAGTCAATTTCCTGCAAGCCTCTTATCACACTTGTGCCAAACTGTATAAGTAACCTAAATTGTGTATTTCTGTTCAAAGACAGATTATCTAATACATGGTTTTTGATACATCGACACTGAACTCATGGCTTGTCA